CCATTCTTTTCTGGCCTGATGTGTTTCTGTTGAGAAATCATTTGATAATCTAATTGGAGACCCCTTGTATGTGACTTTCCGTCCCTCTCTTGCAACCTTTAGGATTCTCTCTTTGTCCTGAACATTTGCCATTGTAATTATGATGTTTCTTGGTGTGGGTCTTTTTGGGTTCATCTTGTTTGTGATTCTCTGTGCTTGTGTGACTTTTTTCTTCCCCACATTAGGGAAGTTTTTTGACATTATTTCTTCAAATAGATTTTCTAAACCTTGTTCCTCTTCCTGCTGTTCTGGCACGGCTATTGTCCATATGTTGCTTCGTTTCATGTTGTCCTAAAGCTCCCTTAGGCTCTCCTCCTGTCTTTTAATTTTCTTCTCCTACTGCAGATCAGTTTGGGTGTGTTTTGCCTCCCTATCTTCTAATTCGCTAATTTGGTCCTCTGTTTCTCCTAGTCTACTATTGAAACTAACCATGGTGTTTTTTATTGCAGCTATATCGCTCTTCATTTCTTCTTGATTCATACATAAATTATTGATTTTTTTTCATCCATTTTTTCTTGATTCTTACATAGGTTGTTGAAGTTTTCATCCATTAGGTTTATGAATTGTATGACCCTTATTCTGAATTCGTTTTCTGACACATTGTATGCCTCTGTTTCACTTGGCTGCTTTTCTGAAATCCTTTTCTTTCCTTTGGGGGTTTCTTTGCCTACTCATTTTTGGTCTCACAGTCTGATCTAGATGTTGAGTCATGCAGGGGCTGCTCCTCAGTTGGCAGTGGCTCCTCTGGTCAGTGTTATTTCAGCAGTGGTATCTCCTCTGGCTGGTGGAGGAGTCTGCTCACACAGCTGCTGTTCCTTGGATGGGTGGGGGTCCCCACTGGGGTGCCTGGCCAGAAGCCCATATAGCTACTTAGAGTTGCAGCTGAGAGGCCGGCAAGTCAGGCGGGGAATGTTGGAGTCCTCCGTCACTGAAGCAAGCCAGCCTCCCTGTTCGCATCAGCTGCCTGGCTGCCGGCCGCCATCTTGGCTGCCAGTTAATTTGCATATCTCGCTGATTAGCCAATGGGAAGGGTAGCGGTCATACGCCAATTACTATGTTTCTCTTTTATTAGTGTAGATGATATATATATTTGTATATAATCATTGAGAAAATGTTTATAGGGACAGTGAATGGGATTGAGTGTTTTATTTATGTATCTATGAATAGTTTAACTTGATAGGGTACTAATATATTAACTTAAAATTAACAAGTAATTTAAAAAGCAGGGTCACGTGCATGATAATTCTGTTCTACCTCCTCTACTAAGCCACTCATTCCCTACTGAGAATAACTGGACCACAATATGGTTGGAAAAGACTCAAAATGCTCACAATGCCAACCTTAAAATTATTCAGGATTTAGCAATAATACCTCTGAAGTAAGCTTAGAGATAATTTTATTAAATCCTCATATCTTCTGTATGAGAACATATATTATTTTGTCTTATAATTGCTATGAATTTTGAAGCATTCACTCTTATGCCTTCTTTCAAGGCTTCTATGATGGCTATCTTCCAGTAGCATATATTCTGCCCAACCTTTTCCTCTGAGTTTCAGATGACTTTACAACTCCATTCATGTTACCTAGAAAACCTCAAATGACTTCTCTTCTTCATCTTTACCACCTCTTCTTTGGTTTTTATTCTTCACAATACATGGAAATTATTATTTTCATAGTCACCAGTGACTTCTATGTCTTCAAGTCCAAAATTCCATTCTCAGACCCCATTATACTTGAACAATGAGTGACACTTATTTCAGTTTATCCCTCTCTCTCTCCTCTTTGGAATATTCTCTTCTTCCTTTGATATTTTCATTTGTATGTGAAACTTAGAGCTACAGCAGTCATCTTTTAACTATGACACAAATAATCTCCACATTGAACATGATAGAGTAGAAAAGTAAAAATAATTCAGGTCTTTATGATTTAGATGAGTTGCTAAATTAAATTTGAAATTGCTCAACTCCGAATTTCTTATAATAGGAGAGAACAAATTCTGATTATTGGGAATAAATTCAGTTGGCTCTTCTGTTAATTAAGGCTAAAGTCAAACTAATTGACATCTTCCCAAATATATACCTCTGACCCAGATTTCCTTGGTATAATTTACATTCATATATTCAGCTGCCTACTGTGTATCCTTAATTAGATAACTAATAAACATTTGAAATTTTAGTCCAAAGTTGGACTTCTGTTTAATACAGTGTCATGAAACTTGCTCCTCTTCCAGGTCTCCTCCATCTTAAGAAATGGCATTTAAGAGTCCTTATATGCTTCGTCTAACCCTTTTGCTTCTTTGCCATCTCCAGAATAAAATGCCCTAGCTATCCCACAAGTCTCACGAAAATAATGAGAAACTTGTGAAGTGGAGCCACTGATATGTCACAGCCTGAAGCAAAGCTGTCCTAACCAACCCACAGACCTGCTGTTGAGAGCAGATCCATCTAGCTAAGACCAAACTAAATCACATGGATCTATGTGCAATAGGGAATGAGTATAGGTGTAAATTACTGAATTGGAGGTGCTTTGTTAAGTGGTATATTGTAGTTTTCAAGAGAAACGGAACCAATAGAAAATATAGATAGATATAGATATATAAGAGGAGATTTATTATAAGAATTGGCTAACATTATTATGGAGGCTGATAATGTTATGATAATCTCTGTCTGCAAACTGAAGAGCTAGGAAAGCTGATGGCTTAATTATATCCAAGTCCAAAGGTTTGAGAACCAAGGAAGCTAGTTGATGGTGTAAGTCTGAAACCAAAGGTCTGTGAATCAGGGAACTGGGGGCCAATGGTATATTTCCTGATCTGAGAATGAAGGTCTGAGAATCAAGAGACAAAAGGGAAAGTTGAACTCTTCATGTAATGTATTTCATCTGTTTCAATAAATGTGTATATTCATCTCTAATCCAAATGCATACATTTCAATTATAACATAGAAGATTCATTAAACCACAGATATAAATACTAACTAGTAATCAACCAGTTTTGTGTAGTTTTGATAGTGTCTACCTAAACAAACACATGCACATACATATGCACATGCTTGCACATACATATTGGTTATGGGTAAAATGATTAATTTGGTCAAGCAATCACTTCTGACTTGAACTATTTCTATGCAGTTCCTACCCATTTTTTAAAATTCAATTGCTGTCTTCAAAATACATGAATGGCTGGAATATATTTCTCGATTTCATGTTGGCAATACATTTTGTGGTCAGTTCTTTTTTCAGCAAGTCAAATTGTAGATCTCTGTGAATTTGTTGTTATGTTTGCTTTATCAGTTTTCCTTGCTACCCTTGCAGTCTCTTGTCTAGAGGTCTCCACATGCTATATACTACATAAAGGCCTGTTGATAGATAATTAATGACTCATGGTCTTTATTGTAGACAATGAGGGATAATACAGAATACTGGCTAACAGCCCAGTTTGATCTTTCCTTGGGCATCAAGACTGCTTTATTCAGCAGATGTGTTGACTCTATAATTGTATGTATTCTTTTTGGCAGAAGAATTACAATGAACATTAGATAAGATCTCAGGTACTGGAATCAGAGTTTTGAGTTTGAATGCTGCTCTAACTCTTAATAGTTATGTTAAGTATGTGACATTAGTCTGCCATATTCTCAGGTTGATGGCTCTTGAATAAACCTATTTTTATTCCACTATCCCTTGTCTCTCAATTATTGGCTTTCTATCAGCAGGCAGCCAAACCTAGGTTCAGTATCATCA